CAGGTCTAAAATATATGATCATATCACCCCAATTTTATCCTTCTTACACCAGCTGTCTGTTAAGTTCTGTATTGATTATAAAATATTGCTTCTTACCTATAAAGCTTTAAATAATCCAGCTCCTATTTATCTTACCAACCTTCTGTCCCGCTACAATCCAACCTGCTCTTTGAGATCTTAAAACTCAGGGCTAGTGCTAGTTCAAAAAGTTTGATCCTTAGAGATTTTACCTTGCAATCACAGTTACTGTATGTATACAACTGACATTTGGGCAGCATAAAGATTCCTATATTTATGTTGTGTCTATTTCCATTTTTGCACAAACTAAATCTCAGTGAAAAACTCAAACTGCTTTCATATTGAACAGGCATTGTCGTTAAAAATGTCAGATTTCATACCTTTGACATTTTATGGACCAGTATAATGTCCAAAAGAATAATTGGCATTTTCCTTTATACTCAGGCCAGTAAGCTCAAAGCACGTCCAGGACTCTGAAGTTCAGACCAGAGCTTGTGATCTTAACAAGCAGAACATCTGTCAGCGCACATTTGAAGCTGGCAAAAAATACCAAGAAAGTATGGTGAAATAAGTTTGAAATGAATTTCAGCTAATGCTCAGTGCCTAGGTGATTAAAGTTTTCGATTATGACTTACTCGCATCAATAATCACATATTTTCTAGAGCTTTAATGGTATCATGCCTAAATGTCATCTAAAGAAGGTGCTGAAAATGATGCAGACTGACTGCTGTGTTTTCAAGCTCCTGACATCATTCTGCATTCAACACCCTGCATTTGATTCTAAATGATCGCATTCTAGACCTAGATGCAGAGATTTCAACATCTCGAAACATACTGTTTAGTGCATTGTTTGCAGATAGAGGCATGTGTTCCAGCATTACGTAGTTCTGGGTTATTTATAATTCTGCTGCATTCAAGGTTAATTCATTCGTTCATATTTCAGTCTTGTTAACTGCATCAAGGAAAGGGTATCATAGTAACCAGACACAGCACCTGGTTCTTATTACAGAGTAATCGCATTTTCCTGTCCATACCAGCAATGCTGTTGATCTTTGAATATTGCTGATATCTTCTGGAAACACTTCTCGCTATCATTTTTTTCACTCTGCACACATTATTATGTACACCTTAGTTGTGCTGGATAACACCTCTTTTTAATTCAAAACCTTAATTCCTTGAGGCTCTGATTCACACACGGTACTGTAAATCTTCTTGAGAGATAGGGATCGAAAATGTTTATAAGTGATTCTGGCCTTACTACCAGAATGTTGTAGAAGAAACTGAAACCTTGCATCATCTCCCATGGCCTGCACAGTCACCAGATCTAAATATTATTGAGCTACTTTGGGGTGTTTTGGAGGAGTGAGTCAGGAAAGCATCACATAGTGACTTGGCCACTATTCTGCAAGAAGAAATCAAAATCCCTCTGGCCATTGTGCACGACTTGTATCTGACATTCATAAGACAAATTGATGCCGTATTGGCCCATACTAATGAATTAGTTTGGTCTAAATATTATTGCATTCCCTAGGGAAGTGAGTTTTTCTGAGTGGATGTAAATTGTGGTCTCAGTTTCCTGTTTATAACTGACAGGAGTGCCATCAGAGTGCCACCGGTGCTCTTCTGCAGATCTTGATAGTGAAGATATCTTCTTCCAATTCACAACAGCTTAGGCTCATTCATTCTTTCATTTTCGGCTTAGTCCCTTTATTAATCTGGGGTTGCCACTGCGGGATTAACTGCCAACTCATCCAGCATATGTTTTACGCTGCAGATGCCATTCCAGCAGCAACCCATCACTGGGAAACTCTCATACACACTCATTCACACACATACACTACAGACAATTTTTAGCTTACCCAATTCATCTGTACTGCATGTCTTTGGACTTGTGGGGGAAACCAGAGCACGTGGAGGAAACCCACGTGAACTCAGGGAGAACATGCAAACTCCAAACAAAAATGCCAACTGAACCAGCCGTGGCTCGAACCAGCGACCTTCTTGCTGAGAGGCAACAGCACTACCTACTGTGCCACCACGTCACCCCAGTTTAGACTCTTACAGACCTATTTGAAGTTGCCTGTTTGACTGCAGAACAACCAACAAGTTCTCAATAAAAAATCTGCGTAAAACAAGTCTTTTGGCTCGGGTTCTGAAATTTTCCTACAGTAGCAACAACTTCTTATTTAAGTTACCATTACCATCCTATCATCACGTTTGACCATGGTCCTCTAACAACTGACATCAACAAGCCATTTCTGCCAACAGAGCTGCCACTCACTGGATATTTCATTATCTATAAGTCCTAGAGAGGATTTTGCATGAAATGTGCATGAAAATCCCACAGATATTCAGACCAATCACACCATAATGGCCAATCAGTCTATTCTGATGCTAGTTTTCAATGGCAGATCATCTTGTAAAAGCTGATGTGCCTCACTGCATTGAGTTGCTGTCATGTAAACGACTGAAAAAATACTTGCAATAACAATCAATTGATCAATAACTAATTAGCAGGTGACTATTAAGATCAAATTGAAGAAGCTGCTTAATAATAACTACTTATTCCAACCGGGGTCTACAGAGAAGCACTTTTGTAATACACAACACATCCATCCTTGAAGCAGATGAGCTACAGCAGCAGAGGAGCACACCATAGACACAAAAAAAGAACAATTAAATGTATAAAAAGTTTGCCTAAACTGATGAGTCTCAATTCAAACAGTAACATTTGGATGGTAATGTCAGAATTGGGCATAGACAACATGAAATCATGCACTCATCCAACAGTATGCACTTCAGAAACATACCTTGAGCGAAAATATAAGATTTTGAAGAAACAAGGAGAAGTAAGCAACATGTTATGTTACATAAAAACCAACAATGCAACTGTTTAGTCACTTTAGTAGTGCACTAACATAACCCATTAACTTTGCAAGTGCAATAGAGTGTAATGTGGCAAACAGCAGGCTGTGATCCGTTATGTAAATATCAGCAATGGTCCAAATGTGGCGGCTGAGGCTCTAGATCTTTACGGCTGCATCTGGGGAAAGTATGATGAGGTGCTAAGTGTGTCATAAAGGCAGATCAACACTCTCTAAATCAGGTGAGGGCTCTTTCATTCCTTAGCTTTCAAAAACCCTGAGCTAACTGCGGCTTAAATAATTACACCATGCACTGATGTTTAACTGCATCCTCAGAGGTGCTGATAAAAATTATTCACCATTATTCGCTTGGTGAATTTCTTCTTTCTTCATGAGCCAAGGTAACTGTTGAAAGAACAAGCTAATACAATTTACGGGTGCTACTAAAGGTTTTTAATGCTCCAAGCACAGCCACTGATTATTTCCAAACCGAGGGTTTTTGGGGAGTTTTTGTCCTACTTTAAAATATTTCTTATATAAATTTAAAGCCAGGTTTATAACCAGGTTAAAGTTACAAATTACAAATACTCAAATTACAATAATTGAGTAATTTTTTTTTCAGGAATTGTAATTTACTAAGTAGCTTTAAAAATGTATACTTTTACTTTCCCTTGGGTACATTTTTAGTGCAGTCTCTGTACTTTACTCCACTGCTTTCCTTCAACCTGCAGCTACAACTTTATTTCTTTCTTGTCTATAGTGATTGGCTAAAATGGAAAATCAGTCCTGTGATTCCCGCCCAATCAAATCGCACGTGGAAAGTAAATCGCACCACACTGGACACTTCAACAAGATGTCCAAAATCTTAACACACATTAACCCAGAGACTGATAAGACTGCATGTCATTGATGAGGAAATGAAGGATGTTGACTGTATGATGACTGAACATTGCCTTTAACAATCACTAAAGGGAATGCATGAATAATGGAAGGAAGGGGTGAATGAAGGAAGGGCCGAACAAGGAATGGAAAGAAGGACCAAATGAAGGAAAGATTCAAGAAAGGACTGAACAAACTAAGGAATGAAGGGATTAATGAATAAATTAATAAATGAAACAAAAGAATGAAAGAATGAAGGAAAGAACAAATAAATGAAGGAACAAGCAAAAAAAATTGATGAAGAACAGAAAAAACAAACAATGGAAGGAAAGAAGGAAAAAATATTGTAAGATCAATAGATGCACTTCTAATGGCAGTCAACATTCATTTGAATAAATGAAAGCAGACTACTTAACTCATTTGGTCCAGTTATGTAAGGCAACCTCTTTAAGTCTCTTGAGTATGTAAAGCTGCTGTGATCAAGCCATTGTAATGTTTTTTCAGTGAATATTAAATTACTGAAAGAGTTTATTTTGTATTTTTATAGGTATATTTTACATGTTTTAAAAGTAACTTCAAAGTAATTAGTAATCTGATTACTTTTTAGATTAAGTAATTATTAATGTAATCAGTTTACAAACTTTCCACTAGTAATCAGTAATTTGTAATCTATTACTTTTTCAAAGTACCTTACCCAACACTGTTCCTCATAAATAAAATTTGGGTCAACATGGTCAAAATATTCATTTTGCATGAACTGTTCCTTTCAATTCATTCACCAAACCTGTAACAATTCACCTTTTCTTTATTGCAATCCAACAAGGTGGAATTTGGAAATCATTTAAAGCCTTGAAGATTTAGTACCGACGGTGTAAAAACCTCTATAAAATAATTGTTTAGAAAATGGAAACTTGGACTTGCTGGATATCCAGATGAGGAAATGAAGTGCATAACAGGAAGCCAAATTCAATAAAGCTGAGGTTCAAAAACTTTCAAAAGGAAACAGAATGGAAAAGCGTGCGATATTGTCCCCTGATGGCATAACTCGGCACGAGCGTGAACAGCACACCCAAAGAAATTCTCTTCGTCTTTCCATCACTATAAAGCTAGCAACCAAGCAACATAACACCTTGCCAAGCTAAGCCTTTATAGCATTTTTATTTCATTTTTAAATGTCCCTCTTTCATTTACTTTCCTTCTGTTTTCCTGGAGACAATAAAAATAGGAGTTGTGTCCTACCATTGAAAGGCCTGGTGTGGGTTTTCAGTGTGGTCTTAGACTTCTCTCCTCCTGTGGATATGACACATGGAAAAACTTATAATAAATGTATATTGATTAATGGCTTCTTGATGGTCTAAAAGCTGCATAATGCATATTCGATTTTACCATAATCTAAACAAACTTTTGATCTGTGCCTACAAACATCACGGTTTAGAAATTTTGGGAACAAACACTGAAATCACACATCAAATCAATTAGCCCACATATGCAAACATATCCAATACAGAACATGCTGTGCTATTTATTGTATCATAAAAAAATCTGAATGATATCACACATTCGTTTGTACAACCAGTTCCATATCTTGCATAAACCCGCATGCGAAAACCACTAATCATTTCCAAATCAAATAGCCCCCATGAGAGACACAGATCTGAGTGTAATTTTGACACAGTGAGCGATTGGATCCTTGAGCATTGGTGATCAAACTGTACAGATTTGTGGTTCATTTGCTGCTGCAAAGTAGGAAAAAAACCCTTATGGCAACACTGTTTAAATATGAACGTTAAGCAAGCACAACTTCAGTTGCGCAAATGCCAAACTCTTCAAGTGCACTGATTAAAAGAAGCCTCATAACCGCATCAACGTTCACATCACACATATCACAGAAAACAGGCAACACAAATCTATTCAAAATCACATAAATCACATTATTAATCACCTGTTCGTACTTAAAACCCAGTTTTTAACATTCTAATGGCAGTCAACATTCATTTGATAAATGAAAGCAGACAGTCTACTACTACTTAACTCATTTGGTCCAGTATTAGTAGACTGTCTGCAAGTTGAAACTGCTCCTTCAACAGACATTTAACTGACTATAAGAAATTTTACAAGTACATGCCAACTTACGCTAACCCTAAGCCCAAACTAACAGTTTACTCATAATCCAATGAAAATTAGTTGGCATGTAGATACTAACTAAATTCTACAAACGGACCATCAAAATAAAGTGTGGTCTTTAGATTATATTGAATATTTTAAAAAGGGTGTGTAACTGTCAGCGTCAAACAAAATATCAGTATCAAAATCACAGTAATTATTTAGAGTGCCACAGAAGTGTTATATGAATGTGTCTGAAAATTTTAAGCGAGCTAGAAGAACTAATTACACGTTTATGATGTTTATGGCAATGTATTTTTAAAGTTAATCAATCGATTGACACAGCAATGTAATGTAAAGAGAAAATAAGACTTTTTTGACAGGTTTGCTTTCACTTTTGTAAGGATTAGTTGACCCAGGCTCATAAAATGTACTGCTATATACATTTCTGAAGTGCACCAAATGACTACACCAAAGGCTGCTGTGTGCACTATTTAAGATCTCAGATTTCTCTCGAGTGCCAGTCGCACCTGCTCTTCTTGTGCAAACCACCAGAGGCCACTTTCGACTGACTAAATGATTGACTGACCCACCCTCCTCCTTCCCTAAACCTAAACATTAGTTTTTTCAGCATCGATTGACCCGCTCACCCACTTCCCTAAACCCAACCAACAGTTTTCAAAAGCGATCCAGAAAAGGAAACGTCCTTGTCTGATTTTTACCACGATTTCAGATTTTAGCACATTCTCACCCGGTTATTTTTTAGTTGATTTTATTTTTTGTGTTCTGTTTTTGTCTTACCAGCTTTCTGGTTTTTCATCAGACTCAAACCCCATTGTCGTGGTCAGCTCTTCTCTGCGTCTCAAGTCTGCCAACTTACATGGCGAGCTACTGGACAATCTGGTAACATCAGGAAACCCATTCATATACAGAAAGAAGTGTTCAGCAAGTAAGCGTGAAAAGAAACGGTATCATACCACCTCGTAGCATTCGTTTTAAAGACGAAATGTAGCCATACGTACATATGTGGCTACATAATTAGTGACTTCCAGAAATGTATATAGGGGTATGTTTTCAGAATGAGCCTATGTTGAGATTAGTTCAACCCAATATTAAAATTGTCATTGTTTACTGAACCACATGCCATTACAAATCCATAAGTTTTCAAACATGAAGATATTTTTTATGAAATCTGAAATTTATCCATAGCCTTTATTCACTGCAGCCGAATCTCCATCTGTCACTGACCATCATCATGATCAGTCCCGTGATTCCCCGTGCCCCGCTAGAGTTTGAAAGGAAGGCACGTTCACATTTTACCAGATCTGAAATGACATATTAGTGATGTACCATATCGACATCGACGCGTTCAAGCAAAAGATCCGAACCCAAATCGATTCATTTATTTGACTCTTGAGTCGACTATTTAGTTAAAGAATCAATAGTTTTAAACACAGTGCACTTTCAGATTTAAATCCCAGCTGGATGTTTTCATTAACTTAGAGCTGTTACACACTGCATGGAAGGTCTTTTTCAAAAACCCATAATAGGGGCTCTTTAAAAGGTCTTTATCAAACTACACCCCCATCTGTATTTGGATTCTTCTTTTACTTATGTGTTCAGATCCATAAAACTATACACAGGGTTCACAGAGGACAGTCACTTTGCTAGCTGGAGCTTCCAGGAGCATGTGTGTGTCTGTTTAGCTCCATCACCTGTGGGCTGTAGACAGGTGTGATGCTGCCTCAGCCAAGGTGAGCTCCAGGGGCCGTGTTTACCTGCACAAATTCATCTGACTCGATAGGGGTGACAGTCTTTGAGGAATCATGAGGGAGAAAGCAAGAATTCAGTGTCTTGCGTATTTCCAGGCTTTGCTGAACGTAAACCCTCATGTACAGTACATTCCATGGCACAAGTCAGACATGAGAGGCTCGACACCCCCAATTACACACCCTCACGCTGCAATCACATCCTCCCTGCGTGCACTTAAGCATATCACAGAAATTCAAACCCAATGACCCAGGGATGAAGAAAAACATGAATTTTTAAAAATATTTTTATAATGGCAATGGACTGGTGTTTATTTTTGGGATTTTCTTTCACAATGTAAAAATGACATAATTAACAGTTGTTAATTACTAAGAATAAAATTTGTAGCTAATGATTTATGAGTATTTCCTAGTTTATTTATGCTTACAAATAGCATTATGGGACTTTAATTTTAGCTGCAAGGGATGATATTGAAAATTAAATTCTGCAGTTTAACAAAGTCTGTATATATATATATATATATATATATATATATATATATATATATATATATATATATATATATATATATATATATATATATATATATAATAAAGGAGGAAAATCTCAGCATAATTTCAAACTACAGCTGATCAAATCATTATAAAACAGGTGACATTCTAAGTCGATCTCGTTCTTTTATATGTATGTAATCTAGTTGTGTTTGCTTTGCTTTGGCTTTTTCAGGGTAAATTATTGTGATATCCCAATTGCAACAGAGAAATACTGGGAGATATCTCTGTAGACTGATGGCATTTCATGCCGCTCAGCCTTATAATCTTAAAATGTGAGCAAAATCACCTGTTTTGTCATTACTTTAGACATTACGCTAGAGAATCATTCAAACACTAGCTCTGTGAAGTTGGTGAATCAGTAACGGTTTCTGCGGTTCTGACATCAGCTGCAGATGTGAATGAATGGCGGAAGAAAGCTCAGTGTTTGATTTTCTTTTTTATGGACAAGATTATGCCGTCGAACTGTTGTATAAACGACCAGGCACGCCTATACAAAGCATATACAAAGCATGCCTCCCACCAGTGCCAATATACAGCCATATCACAGTGCTACTCGTGTGATATTGCTCAACTTTTGTGAAATGAATTTGTTCTTGGGATAGAAAAGCATACCTTAAACCTTAAATTAAGTTGAATCAAATCAACCTTCCAACGAACAATATCATCTTACAATAAACAACAGACTATTGTCAGTTCAGTTAAGTCATCTGTATAACTTTAAAAATATATGTTGAAACATGTTTAACTTGTTTTAATAAGTTAAAGGAACAGAAAATCATATTTAATGGTGTATTGATCATAAAGTTTTGTTGTTGTTGTTGTTGTGAATGCATAATTGTAAATAATTAATTTCTTCTGACCTTACATTTTTTTAAACGGTAAAGTGCAACTAAATAATAGTATGTTTAATTAACATATTTTAGGTGGATATTTAAACCAAGCACAAAACATTCGAGAATTAATATGGCTACACAAACTGAATTTGGCTAATACACAAACACAGACACATATTAATCATTACTTATTGTTCTACCTGTTTGTCCAGGTAAGGGCAGAATTTAATAAAACCCAGTGTTTGGTAGGTCTATAGTTTTTGTGCAGTCCAATATGATCAATCTGACCCTGCTTAAAAAAACTGCCTAAGATGCTTGGCTAGTTTTAGCTGGTTGACTAGCCTGGTCGGTTTAAGCTGTCTATTTTTACCAGGGGAATCTATGAAAACAGAAGAAGATTACCTCATATGTTGCTCTTCTTTTCCCCCACTGTTGAAACTGGTCAGCCTGGTTTATGCCTATAGGAATGGAAAGAGAAAGATGCAGAGGTTGGTGTGATGGGAACCACAGTTGCCACTTGGCACCCACGACTCATTAAAATGCAGCGGGATGAACGCGTTAGAGGTTCCCCTCATTGAGCGTAATTATGTCGGCCCGTCGTTAAGCCATTTTCCCCTCGAACTTCCCTTGCAGATGTTTTAGAGACTTTCGAGTTTATTATCAATGTCAACAACACATTTTTTTCTTGTTTGTCAATGTTTGTCAAGTTCGCCTCAGAAAGGGGTGAAAGGGAAGTTTGTGGTAACTCTAGCGGCAATAAAACCCACTTTGACCGACGGGTTGAAAACAGATATTTTTTTAACGAAATCAGAGAATGCAAGACTTATGTAAATTGGGGGTCATGGCGGGTTAAGAGGAAATGGATGTGATAAAGGATGTGATGGTACGACAGGACGGTCATTGACTCTCAGTTTCCACTTTTTCAAAGCATGGCGTGTGTTCTAGACTCGTCTGGGTTTTCTCAAGGAGAAGAAATTCATAATCAAAGTGTTATTGCATCCCAGCCACTCCAGCGAAGTGAGAAAAGGTCGGAACTGTTGTGGAATGTCCAGTGGGAGGAAGTGAGATAATAATGGAGGCAGCTGGAATGAACAGATTTATTTATTTTTTTGCTGTCAAAAAACTTAAGTAGTAAAGAGATTTTGTCATAAAGCCTATTTAAGGAAATGTATGAAAAGTCATTGACACGATTATTTGGAGTGGCTCCTCTTAGGTATAACAACCTAGCAACTGTAAAATTAAAGCATACGGTTAGCCCTTGCTGGAGTTCATACCCAGGTGGCAAAGAATTCTTGTCCTGATTTGGCATAAATCTGGCACAGCAAGCATTTATCTGGCACTGGTATACAGCATCAAACATGACCCTGGTTTGTCAGAGTGTTTCACTGTAGTCGTGACTCGTGACACACCAACATATCTGGCCCAGTTCAGGATCAGTTATGGATTCTTAACTTGGCTGACACTTGGCCCAGATATGGTCCATGCTTGGCCCTTGTCTGAAAGCCAGACTTGGTACAGTCATGTACCGTAATTCACTGCGGCATGTGGGCCAAGCAAAACCTGATTGTGTGGGCAAGAGCTAGGCAAGAGACATTTTGCTATGTGGGTATTTATAAAATCTGAATGTTTTCACTGTAAAACTGTAACTGCATATTCTACAGTGCATCCGGAAAATATTCATAGTGCTTAACTTTTTCCACATTGTTTTATGTTACAGCCTTATTCCAACATGGATTAAATTAATTTATTTCCTCAAAATTCTACACACAAAACCCCATAATGATAATGTGAAAAAAGTTTTTTTAAATTGTTGCAAATTTATTACAAATAAAAAACCTGAAAACTCACAAGTACATAAGTGTCACAGCCTTTGCCGTGAAGCTCTAAATTGAGCTCAGGTACATTCTGTTTCCACTGATCATTCTTGAGATGTTTCAGATGAATTTACCTGAGGTAAATTCAGTTGATTGGACATGATTTGAAAAGGCATACACCTGTCTATGTAAGGTTCCAGGGTTGACAGTGCATGTCAAAGCACAAACCAAGCATGAAGACAAAGGAACAGTCTGTGCTCTTGACTTCAAACTGGGGTAACGGTTCATCTTCCAGCAGGGCAATGACCCATAGCACAACGCCAAAACATCAATGCAGTGGCAGCACAACAACTCAGTGAATGTCCTTGAGTGGCCCAGCCAGAACCCAGACCTAAATCCTATTGAACATCTCTGGAGAGATCTGAAAATGGCTGTACACTGTCAATTCCTATCCAACCTGATAGAGCTTGAGAGACAGACAGGTATGCCAAGCTTGTGGCATCATATTCAAAAAGACTTTAGGCTGTAATTGCTGCCAAAGGTGCATCAACAAAGTATTGAGCAAAGACTGTGAATACTTATGTTCATGTGATTTTTCAAGTTTTTTATTTTTAATAAATAAGCAACATTTAAAAAAAAAAAAAATTCACATTGTCATTATGGGGTATTGTGTGTAGAATTTTGAGGAAATAAATGAATTTTATCCATTTTGGAATAAGTATGTAACATAAAAAAAATGTGGAAAAAGTAAAGCGCTATGAATACTTTCCGGATGCCCTGTATTTTAACAAAAATTAATAGGCTGTAAAAAAAAGTAGGCTACATTTAAAGTTAATACTGACTAATTTAAGGGATTCAATAGCATATACTATTAAAAAGTGTTTTAGGTCAATAAAGTCGGTTTTAATTTGCCTGTATTTCACTTTTCCTAAAATCTGTAATTGATAAGTGCTATCTAAGTGCACATGAAAATAGCCTAATCAGTGGTAGTTTACTCAATCTGATGTGGTTCCAAACATTTGTGAGCTTCTTTTTTGTGTTGAACACAAAAGACAATATTTTGAAAATGTTCAAAATCGGTAACCATTGACTTGCATAATTAAAAAATCATTATAACAATAATAATAATTAGATGGAAGTTTTTCCAATTTTTTTCCAATCATTCCAATTTTTCCAACATTCTTCCAAATATCGTTTTTTTTTTGTGTTCATCAGAAGAAAGTCTAAAGACAATGGGCATGAAGTTGTACTTACTGTATAGCCAACACAATGTCTAAAAAGGGACCATTAAAACAAAGGATAACCAAAAAATTCAAATACAAATTAAATGTTGTTAAAAAAAACAACAAAATCTGCCCTTTAGTCAAAGAGGATGAGAACTGTTCACAACACAACCTAATAAGACACAGCTGAAAATGCATAAAATCACAAAGACAGAATAACAAACGCCTAACTAAAGGATTTGTGAGTAAACATTCAAGGGACAAAAATGGCTTGGTTCCATAGAGAAATTAATGTAGCACAACCAGTTCAGACTGCTCATCTGTTCATCTGAAGGTCTTGTTTTTGTAGGCCAGACGAGGTGATGCCTTTAACTCCAGTAGATTATCAGTAGGAACCTGAACACAGAAAAACAACATCATTCACTTTTTGTTCAGGTCTGTTGATACAGATTCCACACAAAATCAAAACAAGTGCTAATGAAAAATGACATGAGCACATGTAAACCATCTGAATACATGCAGAAAGCTAACTATAAAAAAATGTTGACTGCTTTTTTGGTCTTTTGTTCCTCTTTTTCCTAAACATCCTTTCGGTGCGTGTGGGTGAATGAGCAGCGTATTTGTTTTTCTTCCATATGAAGCTAATAAAAATGTCTCAAGCTTCTCTTAAGACTGCACTGGTGCAGGAGAACGCGTGTGGTTATTGTTTTTGCTGGTTATTAGTTTTATTGGCTGTTCGTGAGCAGCCTATTTGAACGGCACAGCTCATTTGAAGACTAAAGGGAAATGTTGGGGATTAGAGTCAATTTAGATATTTTTAAGCACTCGTAACTGAAAACATCCAGCCCTGGCAGAACACTCACACCAAGATTAATGATATTAAAGCATCCTGATTCATTGTTTGAGACACAAAGAGGCCCCATGTGTAAGATTTGTGGTGGGAAAGTTTCAATAATTCAATATTCAATATTAATTAATTCAATATTAATTAATTCAATATAATTCAATATTCAATAACAACAATAATAATAATTATTAAAAAAAAACAGTCACATCTGTGGAGTTCATCCAGTTTGATCAAAATTTGGATATTTAAAAACTTTTTTGTTTTTGGAAAAAGGGCTATAACATTTAACAGTAAATTACAACCTGCACATAATTATTTTTTACATTAAAACAAAAGGAAGTGGCTTTGAATTTCATGTTGCAGTGGCCAAAACCCTTTAAAATCCCCATTATGAAATGAAAAAGGTTCCTTTTTTGTCTTTAGGTTTACATGCATTAAAGGTTTAAATTACCTTCATTTTCAAATCAGCCAATTTTACAAAATGTCTCAAACTATTCATTCCATTAACCTCTCCATTACGGGAGTTTGCTGTGATTGGTCTGATTACCCAGTCTGTTGTGATTGGTCTACCACTTATAGTTAAAAGTATCTGGCGTTAAAAGTATCTGGCTGCAGACTTGCACATGCATTCTCAGACATGTACTCTGAGAAACATGCACTTAATAGAACTAGTTATGACTGTAAAAGATATGGACCTAGTATTCGGGACATCACCCATAGGTTTCTGAAGAACGCAAAAGAAGTAACAAGTAGGCGTGGCCACCCATTGCCATTTTGGTGTTTGGGGATACCAAACAAGAGCAACGAAGCGGAGCATGACCCTTACAAGAAAGATACTGCAGTTTGTTTTAAAGTTTAAGTTAACTTCTGAAAAGTACAGTTTTTTGGACACAAAGAAACTACATTATTTTCGTATATTGCAGAATTACTCCAATACAAGTGAAGTACAATACAACCAACTGCAGTACATCTACTGCAATACAACTGAAGTACTACTACAATACAAACCCTGTACAACTACTGCAATTTAACTGAATTACTACTACAGTACAACTGCAGTACTACTGATGTGATACTACAACTAATATGCTGTACAATTACTGCAATAGTATTGAAGTGATACTACTACTAATAAGCTGTACAATTACTGCAATAGTACTGATGTGATACTGCTACTAATATGCTGTACAATTACTGCAATAGTACTGAAGTGATACTACTACTAATAAGCTGTACAATTACTGCAATAGTACTGATGTGATACTGCTACTAATATGCTGTACAATTACTGGAATGGTACTAAAGTACTACAACTACTACAATGCAGTACTGCTACTGCAATACATGTTAAATAATTTATTGCACTTATGTACATGAGTATTAAAATTGCACTTTAGTTTTATGATGTATTGCAGTATTGTAGATGCATTTCTGTAGTTAGTTATACTTCTGAAAAGTGCTATAAAATATATTGTGGTAGTACTTCAGCAATACAACTAAAGCACTGACACCTTGTTTGCAAACCACTGTCCACCGAGCAGGAAATGTAGTAGTTGTACTGCAGTAAAATTGCAATATACTTAAATAATGCAGTTTTTTCATGTAAAAAAAAAACAAACAAAAAAAAACTGCACTTTTCAGATGTTAACTTAAACTGCAGTTTTCTTAAAAAAACAAAACAAACAACAACAAAAAAACTGCAGTATTCTTAAAAAAAATCCAGGCTTAAAACTGTATGACAGTGTTTCAGATGACTGTTTTATAGTCTACAGCTAATTAATCTGTCAGATTCTAGAGTGCATTCAAGTTCTAAAGAAAATGATAAATGACCCTAAATAAAACAAAAAAACATTTATAGAGTTGGTAGAAGTATATAATTTCACTCATCTGGGCAATGGAGGCCATGTGAATGGTTTGTGAGCACAATTAAGTGCACAGCATGCCATATCATAATTGTAAGAAATCATTTCAAAAAGCATTTGACTGTGTAAAGCCACATAAAACAAAGCAAAATTATAATGTATATGCAGAGCACAGCGGCTAATCAGACAGAATCAGCTGAGGTAACTTGGCGATGACCAGCAAAACCTAGCTGTCAATCAAGGTGACCCCCCCCCGTCTTTAATTATGCAGACTTAATATAACTTAATATACAGGAAACGGATGAGTTAAAAAAAATCACCCCCCTCACAGTTGTCATGAAGGGTAATATTAGCTATATGAACCAAAATCGTTCTTTGTGCAGGCAGTCAGCTTATTTTCTGCTGTAAAGTTGGTCCTTTTAACAATGGAGTCAATAGAAATCTGCTATTATGGAGCCAGAACTAGTGGAATTTCGAAGAATTGCCGTTTCAGTTACTTCCATATTTGCTTCACGAGGGAAATGGGGATGTTGCCGCTTGGTAATGACACAGTGAGGGGTACTAGCGTTCAAATGCCAATTTCCATTAGTGAATTTCAACTCTGGAGGTTAACTTAATCCTGGTGCTTCAAACTTGAACTGTAAATATGGCATCAATTTTACCCTATCAATTCAACCTTAAATCCAGTGTAGTAAGGTAGGATTGAATTATTGATTGAACTCAAACTTCCATTGCAAGAATGACCGGTTGGCATTGTGTGAATGTGTTATGTATCTATGTAGTTATGTATTAAGTATGTATGCACATACAGGGTTCAGCGTAATTGAGTACACCCCATTTTGAAAATGAAGATTTTTATGCATTTCTCAGTGATTTTAGACAATGTATTTTGGTGCATTTAAACAAAACAGATTTATTAAACAGATATATTTATTACTACTA